GCGTGACATTTGCCACAACAAAATATCTTATTTCATCGAATGTAGCGCGCGTCGATGTGAAGGACAAGGCCCCGCAAGGCAACTCTCACCCTCGGAAATGAACGCTTGTAGACCGTTGTGTAGACCGTGGCTGTTTCTTCGCAATATTCTGACTTGTCAGGGGGAGGTTTGCCCCCAAATTCACCCAAAAGGTGTATAATAATACCCCTCAAAGATAAAATTAACCTTTGTATGAATTCCATGAAGAAAACGGCAAAATATGACGAGAATCCCACGGTCTACACTCAAAAGGAGAATAAGATCTAGAGTACTTCAAATTCAATTCTCAGAATGTGTAGACCGTTGACACTTTCCTGAATTTCTTCAGTTTTACAACTTGTATCGATCTGAAAACCTACAATATTGTTTATACCAGCCATGCACACCTACTGACGAGGTTTCGTCTACTTTCTTTGAAAAATACGATTTTTATGAACATTTTAAATGTGTAGACCGTGGCTGTAGACCGTTGGTAACCATTGGCAATAGGCATTTTCATACTACATCACGTGCCCATTAGGAAAGGAGCGTTCTTTCAATTCCTAGCATACTTTAACAATGGAAAACGAACAATTATAATTGGCACAAACCATTTTCCAATTACTGGGACAAGGGAAGATAGAAAATAATAGGGAATGGGGTGTCTATGAGCGCTACCATGTTGCCACATGTGAATGCGAAGGAGCATAGTCTAAGCAAATTTATTAAATTCGTAGATGGTTTTTAAAGGGTTATGGTGGATAAAATTGAGCCATTTGAACAGTTTCTCACCAGCATGTTGTTCGCAATTATTTATATCATGCATGGTTTGTAGACATTCTCATGAATTTTTTTGTTTTTTCATCAACAATTAAACCATAAATAAGGGGACTTTTCAGCAAAAAAAACACTTTTTCAAAAGCACTAAACTGTACTGTTTTTCCTTTGAAGATTGATAGTTTTCTTAAACCGATGATCGAAATCTGCACAAAATAACTGTATTCAATAATGATTTAAATGATATTGACGGAAAAAATCAGTAGAATGTTTTTGTAACAAATAACAATACTCGGATATCTACTATATCAATCGTTCAGAGTCCCAACCCCCTCCCCCCCTTTTAACTGGGTAAAGAGTGAAAATTTCGAATTTTCATTAGTAGCAGTGAGATCAGCACCATCGAAAACCCTAGGGTAGCACAATGTTTTGATATCGCAGATTGCTGTTTTCAAGATAATTTTCAGACTCTGAATTTCATTTTGAAGCTTATTAGATATTCCACCAAAACCAATATCCTCCTATAGGTTTTTGATGGTGCTGATTCCATTTCTGCCATTTTCAACATCGTACGTGTTACCGATAAGGAGATATGGGGGTATTGTTATTTTTCGGGGTGGGGGTAAGCTACCCCCATAAAACTAAATGCCATATTTCAATTAAGGTGAAAATTGCTAAAATCAAAATCGATTTCCAATAAATAGGATCAAGATTGTATTTTGAATCTTTTCAAAGGCTCGTAGCCAGATGGCTGTCTAAGAAATAATGGGATAGATGAAGGAGACAAATATGAGTGGCAGCTAGAAAATAATCTAAAATGGAAAGGATGCAATTTTATAAAAGTGACATCGATTCCTCTGTTTCATGTTTCTAATTATAGATAAGGTCGTATTTGAGAATTATGTCGGGTAGTTGCTCTCCTTTTATCACGGATTTACAAGTTGTCATTCATATAGGCCCTTGTTGTGCAATTCAGTGCCCAAATGACAAATTTCAGAGTGTTTACCTAAATTGTAGAAAGGAACCCCGTGTTTCCCACATCAGAGTTCCCAACTGATTGATCTACTATTCCATGTTGGTTGGTAAGGGAACTGAAATAAAACTGACATCCACTCGCCTTCCTGCCCTCCTAAATGCTTGGCCCAGAAGCACTACAAAGAAAGCCCTCTTCCCTACTGTTACTGCATTGCCAAAATGGCCTTTAAGTTAGACTCTACCTGCTACTTTTATCTTCATAAAGCGCAAGGCAGATTATTTCATCGTTAATTGATTGCTGTATTTGTTTGCGTGACATTTGCCACAACAAAATATCTTATTTCATCGAATGTAGCGCGCGTCGATGTGAAGGACAAGGCCCCGCAAGGCAACTCTCACCCTCGGAAATGAACGCTTGTAGACCGTTGTGTAGACCGTGGCTGTTTCTTCGCAATTTTCTGACTTGTCAGGGGGAGGTTTGCCCCCAAATTCACCCAAAAGGTGTATAATAATACCCCTCAAAGATAAAATTAACCTTTGTATGAATTCCATGAAGAAAACGGCAAAATATGACGAAAATCCCACGGTCTACACTCAAAAGGAGAATAAGATCTAGAGTACTTCAAATTCAATTCTCAGAAAGTGTAGACCGTTGACACTTTCCTGAATTTCTTCAGTTTTACAACTTGTATCGATCTGAAAACCTACAATATTTTTTATACTAGCCATGCACACCTACTGACGAGGTTTCGTCTACTTTCTTTGAAAAATACGATTTTTATGAACATTTTAAATGTGTAGACCGTGGCTGTAGACCGTTGGTAACCATTGGCAATAGGCATTTTCATACTACATCACGTGCCCATTAGGAAAGGAGCGTTCTTTCAATTCCTAGCATACTTTAACAATGGAAAACGAACAATTATAATTGGCACAACCATTTTCCAATTACTGGGACAAGGGAAGATAGAAAATAATAGGGAATGGGGTGTCTATGAGCGCTACCATGTTGCCACATGTGAATGCGAAGGAGCATAGCCTAAGCAAATTTATTAAATTCGTAGATGGTTTTGGGAGGGTTATGGTGGATAAAATTGAGCCATTTGAACAGTTTCTCACCAGCATGTTGTTCGCAATTATTTATATCATGCATGGTTTGTAGACATTCTCATGAATTTTTTTGTTTTTTCATCAACAATTAAACCATAAATAAGGGGACTTTTCAGCAAAAAAACACTTTTTCAAAAGCACTAAACTATACTGTTTTTCCTTTGAAAATTGATAGTTTTCTTAAACCGATGATCGAATTCTGCACAAAATACTTGTATTCAATAATGATTTAAATGATATTGACGGAAAAAATCAGTAGAATGTTTTTTGTAACAAATAACAATACTCGGATATCTACTATATCAATCGTTCAGAGTCCAAACCCCCTCCCCCCTTTTAACTGGGTAAAGAGTGAAAATTTCGAATTTTCATTAGTAGCATTGAGATCAGCACCATCGAAAACCCTAGGGGTAGCACAATGTTTTGATATCGCAGATTGCTGTTTTCGAGAAAATTTTCAGACAATGCCTGCCAAAAGTCTTGGAACACTGACATCAATTTCCAAGGTCAAACCAATCATCCCCCTCTCCCCCACGGAACAATGTTGGTTTACTATCAAACGGATTAGGATTTTAGGAAGCACTTTCTTTTGCGCTTCTTTTATGATATTTCTCTAAATCATCAACATTGTTTGAGGGGGAAGGGGGCGGAAGTAGCAAATTTTTTTCATGAAAGGAATGAAAGATATCAAATGCAGCGTAAATTGGTGGGTGTTCCAAGTACTTTTGGCAGGCATTGTAGGATTTAAATCTGTATGGTCGTTCTGTATATGGGATTTAAACTTAAATCTTCAAACAACTTGTTATTAAATAGTACCTTAAGTCGAAGGATGCTTCTCTTTTTCAAAAGTGGAAGAAATTTGGTAGAAATATTCCAAACCGTTTCATTAAGTTGCGTAAGCAGATATGTTTGTATTTGGGCCTTAACCAATTGAAAATAAACGTAAAGAAAATCTGAAAATGAATTCATTTTCTAGATAATGAATAATCGTCAATTTGAATTAATCTGAATTTTGATAGAAATTCAATCTAAAGCTCGTTATTAAGCAAAAGCACACCATGAATCATAAGATTTTCCGTAAGTAGACCGACCCTTAATGTAATAAATCTAATTTTCGCGTTATTTCTTAAAAAGAACACCCCAAATGTAAAAAGTAGATTATTTTTAGAATAAGAACACAAGTTCACGAGATTTAAGAAGAATTTGTATCAAAACAACAACATAAGCAAAGTGAAATAGAGGAGCTAGATTGATGAATAAAATAAAACTGAATAGGAAGTAAACATTACAAAGAACTACAATAAACAGGGAAAGAATAAAAGAGAAATTTTACTGCTTATGATCTTTCAGGTATTTCTAGCTGTTCTTTAAATGTTTGATTATTTTTGCAATAGGCAAATCAAATGGAAGTGAATTCCAATACGAAATTCTACACTCTTTTCTTTTGAAAAGAACAATTTTATAGGAATACGAGCCTCAAAATTTGGCGAAAGTTAAGAACAAGCTGAGAATGAGCTTCTGCAAAATAAAAATTTGAACAACATTTTTTCTCAAAATTGAGGATTTATAACCATGTGTGGGTGCTTTTTGGTGAATATTCAAACCTGTCGGTAAATGAAAGTTGTCTCACTCACTTTGTTGGAAAATGAGGCCTGCAGGGTCTCCGATGAAGGGGGGCTCCAAAATTATGGTAAAACAATAGAGCTTTTTTAAAAACCCATTGTTAAGATTGTCAAATCTTCTCTTGCCCCCCCCCCCCCATTTTCCCATGCGTCTGAGCCCATGGCCTGACTACCTCCCTAGAGCGAAAAAGCTTGCAATGGTACTGTTTGCACCCTATTAATTAAAAAACAAATCAAGGACAATCCAGCCTCAGATGTAGAGAACAAATGAAGGGATTGTGTCCTGTATGTAAGCAATTTTAAGCAACACATTTACAGTAATAATATAGTAATATTGTGATAATCTTATATTGGATCCAATTAGTTATTTGGCTTGCCTTTACATATTCACGCTATAATTCGTGAAAAATTTTGTGTCGTGCCAAATAACAACAACTACAGACAAAGTTGTTGTTGCCACGGTGATGCAGTTCATCGACAAATTGTAATTAGCAAAAAGCACAGGGGACCGACAGCATAAATGATTGTTTGATACTTCCGGTTGAAAGGCTTTCCACACATGACTAGCACACAATATTCAAAACTGCAGTTACGCAAGTTGAAACAAGGTTATTATTAGTGGACTTCACCCAAAAAGGCTTTGCAATGTTTCGGTTGTTCGTTATTCTTGTTATCGATTTAATCGCATTCACCGTCATATTGCCATTACTGCCGTCGATCCTGCTTCATTATGAAAAGTTTTCTGGAGAGAACGAAGACTCGTTACTCCGATCCACGCTGATGTTGATGAATTCGACAAAAGAGAAGCTGAACATGCCAAACACAGACCGATACAACAGTGTTTTAATTGGAGGGTTTCTCGGATCTCTCTTCTCGTTTCTGCAGTTTATTTGCAACCCAGTATTTGGGGCACTCTCAGATATCATGGGGAGAAAGAGGATTCTCATTGTCACCATGCTTGGAACTGCCTTATCATATTTTGTCTGGTTGAAATCAAACACTTTCAAATTGTTTTTATTATCGCGTATCATTGGTGGTTTGAGTAAGGGAACAGTAACAGTTGCAACGGCGATGATGTCAGACATTACAACAAAGGAGAACAGAGGAAAAGGGATGGCAGTTATTGGAATAGCCTTTGGTGTTGGGTTCACTGTTGGCCCCCTTTGTGGTGCCTACTTTGCCTCAGATCTCTCAGCGTCCCTCAAAAACCCATTTCAATCAGCAGCAAAATTTTCCTTGACTTTACAGATCATTGCTGTTATTCTTACAATGCTAACTGTCAGAGAAAGTCCAAAACCTGCCAAAGGCATTGCAACAAGGGAAAGAATATCTGCAGCATTTGCTTTAATAAACCCTGTATCATTACTCAACTCGTGTCTTTACTGGAAAGAAGATCCGGATAGAGTTGCTATAAAACAACTCACTGTTGTCCATTTTGGGTATCTGCTTCTCTTCTCTGGTCTGGAGTTTACATTAACATTCCTAACACATCAAAGATTTGGGTTTGGAAATAGACAGCAGGGGATGCTTTTTCTCTACCTTGGCGTTCTTATGATGCTAATACAAGGAGGGTATGTAAGAAGAGCAAAAGTCAACCAGGAAAGAAGTTTAGCAATTTTTGGCATCTCTTCAATGATACCTTCTATGGTTCTGGTTGCATTTAGCAACTCCACATTGATTTTATGCACTGGGCTCACATTTTATGCATTTGGTGCTGCAACAGTTGTGCCATGTCTCACTGCATTATATTCTCAGAGAGCCAGTAGCATTGAAAGTGGAGAAATGCTTGGTATTTTCAGATCAGCTGGGGCCCTTGCAAGGGCAATGGGTCCCTTCCTTATGTGTTTTGTTTATTGGACATTTGGATCCACATTATGCTATCTTTCTGGGGCTTTACTTTTTGTACTGCCTTTAGGACTTTGTTCAATTATGAGAATAGAAGATGTAAAGAAGGATTAGTTAGATAAAGAATGGATTTATCCATTTATTTTGGTTACTGTAGATTATTATAGTGTCATACCACTACATGATGTTTTGTCCTACATGAAGTTAATATACATGTATGTATTATCTATTTAATCTTGTTAGTTTGATCTTATTGCTTTTTCAGTTTTTATATTTATTTTCATGCTTACAATTGAAGAATTGCTTAAACTACTAACATAGTTTCATCAGATTGTAGAATGTCTTTTTTTAAAAAAAGATTTAGGAGTCTAAAGTGATACTGGTTTATAGTTCTTCAAATGTGCCTCACATAGCCAACAGTTAGAAATGAAATATGAATTATTTGTGAATTTTCCTCACTAGAAGCATTTAAATGTAATTAAATGGATTGAAAACAGTCTAGCCCTGGTATGCTGATAGCCATCAACTATGAACAAGCTTTGTTTTTTCTGAAAAGGATGTATATTTCAAACATTTACTTGTTTATTCTCAGTACAGTAAACCTTTATTAAAAAGATTTAGGAGTTTAAAGATTTTGGTATGTTTGGATATAGTGAAATTCTGGTGTTACCCTATTTTTAACAAATGTTGGTCAGTTAATCTCTTTAACCATAATTGAGTATCAAATTCCAATATGTAGTCTATATGTGAAAAAGAAGACTTTCGTTTTGAATTTAGAAATTATCAACCTATTTCTGTGGTTGGTCAGTTAATCTCTTTAACCATAATTGAGTATCAAATTCCAATATGTAGTCTATATGTGAAAAAGAAGACTTTCGTTTTGAATTTAGAAATTATCAACCTATTTCTTTGGTTTTGAAATTATCCCACCTTATTCAATTCTTCCTTTTCTCAGTAAAATACTTGAAAAACTGGACACCACATTTTTCAACACCAATATTTATTTCTAGGAAATAAATCTACTTCCTTAGAAATTTTAGATCTTCAGTCACAAATAATAGATAATATTGAAAGCAACATTTGTCTTGTTGTGTATTTCTCTAAGGCTGTCAATACAGTCAACGATTAATTTTTTTAAGCAAACTGGAACATTTTGGCTTTAGAGGAATAGAATATTTGTGGTTTAAGTCATATTTATACAAAAGAACTCAACAGTTTCTATAAATGGTGTAAATGCAAATTAACTGATATTAATTGTGTTGTCCTACAAGGCAGTGTGTTTGGGCCACTACTGTTCCTACATTTATAGCTCTTACAGATTCTAACATAGAGCAGATAGACCTAAAAAACATCTGGAATTATCTTTAAAGCTAGACAGTCTGTTCCAAAAGAAACTCCAAAGACCTTGTGCTCCTCATTTACTGAATCTCTTACACTCTGTGGTATATTTAACTGGGGCTGTGTTAATAAATGCACTCTAGAACCTCACAAAACGTTATCTACACAAAAGCTATAAGGGTAACCAACTTTGCTCACTGTAATGCTCATAGTGAACATATTTTCAGGGATTTTCAAGCGTTTAACTTTGAGAAACCCTACATGGTCTCAAGCATGACGATTCAAGTTTAGAGGGGTAGGAGCGTACCTCCGTTCTGTCATGCTCCTTTTTATATTCCACTGAGAATGAGAATGAGATTGATGCTGAATCAGATGTTAATGGAGCCAAAAGGTACATTATAAACACTTCGACAGGGGGGTAAGCAAAGAATTTTTTTTCGGAGGGGTACAGAAATGATTTTTGCCGACAAAAAGGATGTGTCGCACATTTTAAGGGTGTGGTCATAAGATAATAAATCTTATATGCTGCTTTTATGCGTTTCTATTTAAAAATTCATACTTTGTGTCATACTTTGAAAGAATTGTTGTCAAAAAGGTTACAATGAGACTACAGGGTAAGAAAAGATATTTCCTCTTTTGCCCGTCAAATATCCTTTTTGTGTTGACAGACGAAGTGTTTGGGGGGTAAAGCGCCCTCCATACCTCCTTGGCAACATCCCTGCTTTGACAACTTCAGAAAGACATCATTGTTGATTTTTGTTTTTACAAACAATTTCTCTAATTGTGTCCAATGAAGATACATCTTTTACTTGAAAAGCAAGCCACTTCAGTTTTACTGGAAGAAGTTTCATCCTCAGGTTTCAACTGAAAAAATTCACGTCTGTTTTGTCCATTCCTCATTCGATTGCTAACTTCAAAATTGACCATTTGCAGCCTCAAGAAAAGCTTTTTCTAAATCTTCTAAAGGTACATACAATATATCATCAAATCTTCTACCTATTTCTGCAAGGCCTACATCATCAACCTCAAAATACTTCAATCAATAGAATGATTCGACATCCAAGAATGAGAAGATGAAAACAACATGAATGTATTATAGTTTAGTTGTACGAATGATCAAGGATTATATAAAGAGCCAATAAAATGAAAATGGAGCAATGCTGTGACAAGTGTTTAACCTCAAGAGGGGCACTTCTAATCGATAAAAAGGCATGCTTCAAGCTCAGCGGAAAAGTTGGGACACGTGTCTCCTATGCCCCCGGCTCCTATCAAGTTAGCACCCTCACCAATTTATTTATGAATACGAATTTATTAAAATAAATAAGCTACACAACTACAATACAGGGCAATTTTATTATCGTGGCTTCTTTTGCCAACAGTCTCCACAAACTTAAAAAAAACTGTCTCACTTATGCTGGTATTTAACTTTGGGGCTCTCTGCCGGCAGAACTGAAAATGTTATTTGCCAAACAAAATTGCCAAACTACTTTACAAATAAAATGAATTGCTTCATAGCCTAGCTGCATAGTGGTTGATGTAAATTAATCGATTGTGATGAGTGCGTACGTTAAACGTACACGAAGGTCTCTGATCCTTACATCTCGAAGGTAAAACACACAAAGAAAATACGATGGTTATAAGTTTAACCCATGATGTTGAAACAAACACGCGAATGAATATATATACTACATAATGCTTCTTTTTTCCATGCTGAAGCCAACGAACTGACTTATAATTGACTACACCCATCAATCACGTGCTAAGAAGTCATAGGGTGTCCATAACTATTTTCTACAGTGGTATCACATTACTTCTATATTGCTATTTTTTATGTTATTACGTTACTTATTTATTGGTATTATTTCATGTTGTTATTGTTTTTGTTCTGATTCCAAATTATAATTATTTATACTTACTGTTGAGTATTCCAACTAAATCTCAGTAGCTTGTTCATTGAAGTTTTTGTATCTTTAAGCCAACAAGTTTATCGCAATTAAAAAAAGTCTTTTAATTGTAATAAAATAAAATATTTTCCTTTTTATTTCAGTATAGTATAATGAACTTTTTGATGCCGTGAAAATATTTTGACTTTTAATTTGATGTCAATGCGCCTCATTAATTATGGATCCTATGAATACAATAACACATGTGTTGCGTGCTGCTCCATGAAAATATTGCACTGAAAGCTTTCGAGTACTTAGCCATGCCCAAGTACTCTCTGAAAATAGGGCTATGCCCTTTTGGAACCAAATATCTCTTTGTAGAAATACAGTCAGACATCTTTTAATGAGGTAAAAACGCAATCAATCTACCTCCCCCCCCCCCCCCCCCCACTCTCACAAATCTCTGGAAAAAATCCAGGGTCACGGCCCTTGAAAGGCGGTTCTGATGGACTGACTAGGCTAGGTTACTGTTATTTAATAATCTAAAATAAAATGGAAAAAAATTAGTGAATGATTGAATTAATGAATGAAGCAATTAATTTATCAATAATTGAATGAGTAAATGAGTTAGGGAAATGAAGGTGATAGAAGCCTTCCAGAAATTTTCAAATGACACTTCATCGGTAGCCTTTGGATTACCAGGGTACCTTTGGGTAAAATGTGACGGCATTTCTAAAACTTTCAGCGCAACAAAACAGGATGCTTCAAACATTTTGAAAGACTTCGTATTTAGAACTACAGTGTTCGTCCTACTTGAGAATTAAGGTTCTGTGTCGAAAAGACTCCATAAGTTGTTGGGATTGGCATTTCTGTGCATTGTCGGCAAGATACGGTTTTAATTCTAGCGTCAAACCTAGCCGACTTCATGTCGTCTCCAAAAGGGGGCTTTTTGTTGATAAACAAAGTCTATCAAAGCCACTCGTTAGCACAGAAATTATCATTGTCTTTGAATTAAAGTCTTTTATTAAGCAGATCCAAAATAGTTTCTACATTCATCAACATTTTGAAATCTTATCTTTGAAGCCGATGGCCATGTCATTGGGGCAGTGCACAGGTCCTAATTCTATTTTTCCCGTTGATGAGAAAAACATTTCTATAAACTGGACAAAAAAAACTTAATTAAAAAATAGGAAACAACTAATGATTATTTACATATTATTTGCAAGTGTCAGTCGCTACAATTATATGGGTTTGCTGAAATTCAAATTGTTATTGCATGACGACGCCGGACTTTGAGGAGGGCGTAAATGTTAATTCGCGGATCAATATTCTTAGAGGAAAACCAAATTTTTTTAACGAAAAGACTATAAAAAATTATTAACTCGGCAATTGCAGATAAAAAGCTGCTGTATTTATGTTTTGTTGATTTTAGTAAAGCATTTGATTCTGCAAACCATGATGATTTTATCAGTAAACTAACAAAGTACGGAATTCGAGAAAATTTTGTAAATATAATCTCCTCTTTATTTAATTGACAAAGGCAAGTCCTGCAGCAAAGGTGATGATGATCTAGCCGACATATTTTTGTTTGAGAAGGGTTAGGCAAAGATGTAGGTTGAGCTCACTTCTTCTTACACTTCTTGTTGACTATGTAGATGTTAAGATGAAAGAGTCTTCTCCCGGGGTTAATTTAGGAAATGTAGCTATCCTTACCCTAACAATCTTTTGGTGGTACAAAACTTGTAAATAGCTTTGAAAAAAGCAAACATTTAGTAAACTAAAGCTTTTCGTCTGACACTCTTCAGAGTTTAAAACGTCAGAACATAGATCGAAAACTCTACGCTAAGAAATATATATACCCAGTTGTGGATCGAAATAGGCCAATCAGAAACACGAGCACATGACTGTAAAGGTTGACCAATCAGTGCCGCTTGCCTATTAGAATGTTACCAATGGAGTCCTAAGGTGAAAACGAACTCCTTTTGTCTACACAGTAGCGGTTTTTTCGTGCTTATGTAGATAGATTCTAAAACTGCTAGGTGGAACGACGATCGGGCTTTACCAATAATCCGAAACATGTCGCCATTATAGTTTTTTGCACAATCTGGGTTTTCTAGCAAATGCTGCCCGATAGCAGAATCGCAGGTTTTATTAGTAATTTTGGATTTGCAAGACCGAGGTGGCTGTTCTCTTTGGGGATGTGTTTTGTTTCTAATATTAGATGGAACGTGTTGTTTTATCCTATCCTCCAATCTTTGGGTGGTGCGTCCTACGTAGCCAGAATCACACTGGCACGTGAATTCATACACAACAGAACTTTTTTTTGTGGCAGGAACGCAGTCCTTTTGAATGGACGGAAGGGCCTTTTTTGTACTGTAAACAACACGTGGGTTAACCGCGAAGAAACAATTTGTTATGGCCTGTTTTATTTGGCTTTCAAAACGTAGGGAGCTGTTACCGATCCAGGGTAGTTTTAGATAGACCGGGCACTTTTGAGGACCAAATTTTACGTCAGCCGAGAAATTTCCTATCTTCTCCTTAATGTAAACTGAAATAACATGTTCTGGATAGCCGTTCTCCAGAAAAATCTTAGTTAGTTTTTCAAGTTCCGAGTCGAGTTTAGACTTGGAACAAATCATCAGTGCCCTATGTGTGAGCGTTTTGATGAGGCTGATTTTTCTTTGTTTTGGGCAAAACGAA